TTTTTTTTTTTTTTTTTTTTTTTTTTTTTTTTTTTGATACTAAGGATCAAACTCGGGTCCTTGCGCTTACAAGGCAGGCAGTGGAACCACTGAGCTAAATCGCCGGCCCTTAGAACAACTTTCTTGAAGACCAGTATAATAGTATTTATCAAAAAGTTTTAATGTGCATGTCGTTTAAACTAGTAATTTCACTTCTAAGAATCTGTTCTTTAGGGAAGAATGTAGATCATTAGATCAAGATTAATTTAAAATAGCCTAGGAAAAAGACATGGATAACTCATGATTCATTTCTTTAAAAGCATAGTACGTAGCCATTAAAGGTGATCATGTCAAAATGTATTAAATTGTATGGCAATACATGTATAAAATTTTTAAATGGACTGAATTATTTACCAAACAATACATAACATGACTCCAATTTTGGAAAAAAAATATGGATAAAAAGACTAGGATATACACTAAAATTATATAGTGATTACATTCAGATAATGGAATTCAAATAATTTTCCTTTTTTTCTTCTTATCTTTCTGTATTTTCCAGTCTACAGTAAAACAAGACCAGTGTCAACAAAGCCGTTCTACTTCCCTCTGTACTTCATCCCTTGTAGAACTGTTGGTGAACACTTCTGTATATGATGAATGTATTCTAAAATGATGAGCTTAATTACAGAAAGTATGCAGATTCAACAGTCAGGAATAGAAAGTAAACGTGAAAGTAAAAGGCATGTTGGAGGTTGGAGTGAGGTAGGATGGGGAATTAGTAAAGTTAGGATAAGGGTCTATGTTAGTGATCTCATAATCTGGCTGAGCTCCAGAAACACCCACAGGGTTTTATAAATTACAGACTTCTGTGCCCCATTCCAAGATGCTTTGATTCTGCAAGAACAGGATAAAGTTTAAAATAAAAACTAAAAGTAAGGGCTGGGAATTTAGCTCAGTGGTTCCCCTCACAAGCACAAGGGCCTGAGTTCAATCCCTGGTACCAAAAATAAAGTAAAAACCAAAATAATTTTTGATCTTGGAAACTTTGAGAAGCTGAGACTCGGTGCAAGCCCTTAGCAGGCTGGTAGTACCATCTGCCTTACTTCTTCAGCTAGAAGAGTAAGTCCTGGAGGGTTATTCCTATCTTCCTGTCCTGTCCTGACTTAAAAGCATCATAAATGTCAAAATGGTCATTTTCAGCATCATAGAACCTCAGATTATTTCTTTAATCTATGTAGAAGAACAAAGCTGTCTATACTGGATTTTTGCATTTTCTTTTACTAAGATGAAGTAAAAGTTAGTGATGGTCTAGCCTTTTCTTGAATACGTAAAAGTACCTCTTTAAATTTCATTTTTTAAGGGATCCTGCAGCCTTAAGAAAGATAAATCATTGTTTCTCCAGACTCTTTCTGACTTTGTGTTATTTTGTTTCTATGTAATAGTTGAAAGTAGGGGTAAAAACAGATATAGAGGTAGCTTGGCACGTGTGTTTATCTGTGAGCTCTTCCCTTTCAAGCACTGTAAGGTAGCCAAATGTATGTTGTCTTTTCTAGGTACAGCAACACCAAGGACAGTTATGAGCCTTTTATTTATATTATGTAGTAGTCAAATCAGAACATTTAATACCATCAACTGATTTCAAGAAGTCAGTGACCTAATTACTTCATGTAACAATTAGTTACTTGTTTTTCCAATAATTTTAGGACCATTAAAATAAACTTTAAATGCTAAAAAGGAACAAGTACAAGCATACAAACAAAATTTTTGGCTTTGTGAAAACAATTGCAGTTGCTTAGATTTGGGTGCCTCTTGCTAATGTGTGAATCAGTGTGTTCTCACCAGCAGCAGCTCTGGGAGACTCTGTACTGACAGCTCACTTTGCTCAGCCACACAGGGTTTCTATTGGGATACTTGCAAGTAGGACATACAGCTTGCAGTGACCACAGGCCCTGCCTCTCCCTAAGTAATGCACTGGTGCGGTCACATACGCGATCCTGATGTGACATCGTAGACTTTAGAACTTGACCACTGCTGCATGTTAGTGAAAACTTGACTGACTCAAGAAAAAAAATGGTAACCAAAAGAAATGACAGTATTAATAGTAGTACTTAAATCTTAAACGGCAATGTAAATAATTACTTTTGTCATCACTACTATCAGGAAGTATTGTAAATTATGACTGAATTCTTAAAATTTTATATATAAACTACATTGTATAAAACTATGTTGTTTTTTTATGCAAACAGTCTCATTCATCATCTGTTTTTATTTTATAGTCATACCCTATGGTATTGCAGTATCGACCAAGAATTGATTTCGGTTAGACCAAGGGGCGTAGATTTCACTGAAATGAAACCTGCACTATTTGTTTCCTCGTCGACAGATTGCACAGTGAACAGTGTGTGGACTAGAGGGACGCAATCAGATTTTCAGCATGCAAATAAGGCCATTGTCTGTCTCTAAATTGTCAGTTGCATTCATGTTGTTTCTATTAAGAGCACACCAGATGCCATTCTGCTACTGAACCATCTGCATAAGGTATTTGTGCTGTCTCACAGTGTGCAAGTCACACTTGAAATCACGGTGTGCAGCCATGATTCAGCCTTCTGAATATTTTGCTTGCCTGTTCTGAGATTGTCCTAATGTTTAATTACACTAGTAATATGGCTCAATTGTTGTGGTGTTGCAGTTTTCACATACTACTTTTTTCTTGTTTAGAGTACTGTACAAGAATCTGATAATTTTATCTTGAAGTTATTTTGTATGGAAATATATTTAGAAAAGTGGTTTCTGAGCTACCTTATTCTTGCTAAGCCTTTTGTGTAAAAAAAAAGTTCATTCTGAGTGTGCAAGTCATTTTATGAAGAATTCTAATTATTTAATGTTGGAGCACATCATAATTGTCAACATTCAAAGCGTCTGTCTGTGTGGTCTACCAGTTGCACAAGGAAGGCATGTTAGCCCTCCAGATCAAAATGTATGTAATTTTTTGGACAATTGAAGTTAGAGTCACAGCCATTTGAATGTTGGCAGCTGATCACATTTACTTCTAAAAAAATTAATGTGTAAGTAAGGTTCACCTTTCATAATGCCTTATGACAGGTACTGCTTCATGAAACTTCTTTGTATCGCCCATTTTATGTATGTACATACCATTGTTGCTGTCATTTAATGAATACATTGTTTTTCTTTTATGTTGGCCTTAGGTGTGTGTTATTGTGGCATGCAGAAGGTTATGAATGATTTTAAATACTAGGTTCTTTTAGAACACAACATTAGCTATTTTACGGATTTAAAATGTCTCAAAACAGTTGTAGGTTAAAAATTATCACATGTCCAAAATATATGCATAAAATAGATAGTTTAGTAGATAAATATACTACCAAAATTAATGATTTGGGAATACTTTATTTTAGATACTATAATCAGAGGAAATTGGATTATTGTTTTATACATGAGTTCATTAAAATTCAAAACTGCGATAATTTTCTTGATTTTTGCAGTTTTGTTAAGTCTTCCATTTGTTTTTGGATTAATCTGCAAGTCACAGAAAATCTTATTACCTTAAACTATGTAAAAATTTTTATTTAAACCTTTTAAAATTTTAGTTTTCCAAAAATTTCCTTGGAAAATGTTGTTTTAACAGTTGCTTTTGAAACAAATATGTTAACCTCTGAAAATTAGGGAAATACTTAGAAATTAGGAAAAACTACTTATTTTAGAAATCTGACATGAGCACAATCTGTGTGTTAAGCACATAGCTTTTATACTGTATACAGGAGAGAAGTGCTACATTTTCTAGTAAAATGTATCACAAATTAATGCCTTTTAAATTCTAAATTGCTTAATGAAACTAAAACATTGTGTTACTCTAAGAAACTTAAAAGATACAGCTCAATCTCAATGCATTTCATAATGTAAAAGAATGAAAATTCATAATTTTTTATATCTTTTCTTAAGTCAAAAAAGTCTATATAAATAAAGTTTCTGTTCTGACTGGTGAAGAAGGTTATGGCAGTATTTTCTTAACTTTGTTTTTTTAGATTGTTAGTTCTTAGAAGGGCTCACACACAAAATTTAGAATGTTATTTTCATTAACTCTTTAAATGCTTGGAAAAACTATTCAACCCAAAACTGAATTTATTATCCAAGTATGGGCATTTGTGTGTGTGTGTGTGTGTGTGTGTGTGTGTGTGTGTGTGAGACAGAGAGAGAGAGAGAGAGAGAGAGAGAGAGAGAGCCAGTCCCTGGGTATTTTTTTTTTAATTTAAAAAAATTAGCATAAATTTGTCACAGCTACATCAATGATTAAGTAGTGTTTTATATATGGAAGATAATTTTAATTAACTCAAAGTGAATTGAGTGCATCTTGAAAACCACAAATAAGACTTAGATATTTTGACTCCCAAATCAAAACTTATGGCTATAAATAAATTTTAGATTAAAGATCTCTTTAAATTTGGCCTGTTCCCTGATCATAATTCCACCATTTTCTAATAAAGTGTTTAGGGAAATGGTAACAGAATTGAGAATACTTTTATATAATATTCCTTTATTTATTATTAATTCATTAACATTTTTATTGAAATACAATTGAAGAATATGTGCCAAAATATATAAAAATCTTTCATACAGAAGGGCATCATTTGTCATTTGAGGATAGGTGGTCCTGAGTAATGTGGTATTGCTACTAGAAACCTGGACTTCTTTCTTCAGTTGGCCTCTCTTAGTATACCAACTGTGAGTTTCTGAGTATGAGACTACTTTCAGGGCTAGTAGTATACTAAATTGCCAGTTAATTATCCTTATATCAGATTATAAAATTTGCAAGAAACCAGGTATAAAGAAAATACACAAGCACCTTATTTTGGTTAGCTTTATAAATATAGAGTGCTTTTAAAAAAAAACCTTTATATGGTCTACATCTATTACATCACATTATAAACCTAAATTATCCATTTATCTGTTGTTTATTAAGCAATAAACCAAAAGAATTTTATTCCATAAAAGACTGTGTTTTCTGTTTTATCTGCCTTAAAAATCAGATATGAAAAGGTCAAGGAACTTTAGATAGGAACGAATGTTTATGGTTTATAAATATTTTAAATTGCAGTAGTCCCATTAATTAATTGAGAAATCAAAATATGGCCTTTTCTGTAACAAGACACTTAATAGATTAATAAGATACTTAAGTATAAAAAAAGATTTATTGATGAGGTAAGAGTCTGGAGGTTGGGTAACTTGAGTAATGTTTTTAGCTACTTTTAGAAAAGTATACTATTTCTTTACTCATTGAACATCTATCCCATACTAATTACCACATTTTATAAATGCAGCGAGTTTACTCAGTTATATTATACACTCAAGTGTTATGTAAATTTAAACTAACTCCTTAAGAAAAATAAGTGTTATATACTATTATGAACTGTTTAGCTTTATTAAATATTAAAGAAAAAGTGCCTCATTGCTAACATGCGTTTCTGTTTTAGATTTACTATGTAAATTTTGAGTTTTCTGTACCTGTCCCTTAGGAGAGGTTTCATATTTATTTAGGCACTTGAAAGAGTAATCACATTTTAAAAGATCTTCTTAAGAATATAGATAGCACCAAAGACATTTTACTGTTAATTAGTAACCATGTAGAAAAACAGTTTTAACTGTTCAGAGGATGGAAATTTTTAGATTGTGACTTAATTTTCGATAGTCACGCAATACCCATGATTAATTGCTGAATTCTATCACCAAAGAAAGGCTTTAAACTAAATTTTCTTGGTGAGACTGGTCAAATGCAAGTTTTTCTTTAAATAACCACAGCACATTTCCTTTTGAACATGTTTAGTTATCTGTCATCATCTGACATGTCTTAAATCCTCAAATGTGAGAAAGAGATCAATGCAACAAATAGCTTTCCTCGGAAGGAAAAGTGGGAAAAGTGCATACTTTTGAAAAAAATTGAAATTGAGATTTTAAATTTTAATTTGAGATGCTTTTTATTCCACAGAGGGAACATAAAATAAATTACTCTTAGCTCCTGGGCTTTTAATAATATGTAAAATTTTATTAAAGATAGATTTTGGTAACAGTGCTGATGTGCTTATTTGTGTAGAACATAACACGTTCTGCTGGATTTACACATGCTTTTTCTATGTTCAAAAAAATTTTTATAAGGGCCTGTGTTTCTTGTGTCTCAACAGTTACTTTATTGTTATTAGAATTTAGCCTGTACATCCAAATTTGGCAAAATGAATCACAAAACAAGAGCATCTCTATATACTAAAAGAGTTGTACCTTCATTTCATTTCTCTTGTAAGGTAAAACTATTTCAGAGCCTTTCAGAGGTCACTAGTTAAACCTTGTCAGATAGGATAAAAATGAATGTACATTCTATTACATACGCTGGTCCAGAGTAAGGAATTTTCCAGCAAGCTATGCTTTGTGCCACTAAAATATTGATTGATTATATTAATTTCAAAAATCAGTTAGTTTTGCCATAACCTTTCCAGAGTAGAAACATAAGAATTTGAACTGTAAGATATACATACCTATAATCTGGAAAGCAATAAGGAATATCTTTGCTAAATGTGATTTATGAAAGATTTGAAAAATATTAAGACAATATTTTTAAAATATTAAGTCTCAGAAGCCTTCTCAAAGCACAGAATGGCCAGTTGTTTCCGGATTTACTTGATATACCTAGTTCAGTAGTATTTTAATGGAAAACAGGAGGTCAGAAGTTCATTAAAATGTACTTATGTAGTACAGAGTTTTCACTGTTGTATTTTGTTTTTTTAACAATGTTCTTTCCCAGTAATTTGAAAGTTTACTCTTTGTCACTATAGTGTCAAGTAAAATTAAAAATGCTTGAATACTTCCTTTTAAGAAAATTTTAAAATTCAGCTTAAAAATAACTTAATTGCTTTAAGTACTCATGAAAATGTGTCTGTATCCTCATGTTCCTTTTTTATGATTCAAAACAGACTGGTTTTTCAGAAATGCTTTTTAATTTTAATTATATTTAAATCTACAGTCAAGTGAAACATGGGTCCAGTTTTCTTCCATCTTATAGAGTAAGAAACTAATACAAAGATTAAATATTTCTGAGTAATGTAGAGATAGTAAACAGATTAATTAATTTATCCATATACTTCACATCAGTCCACTGGAACAGGAGTTCTACACATCAAAGTGTAATGGGATCAGCCAATATCGCTTGGTGCCAGTTTCTTTTGCTGTATTTTTTAGAATAGGGATGGGGGCCTAAGTGTCCTTATGAAGCTGTGGTCCGTGACAGGAGCTGCGGGAGGGAGTACCAGTGTTCTGCTGCTTTCCTGCATCTGGCAGCACAACGGCGATCATCAGTTTTTTTAGAGTAGCCCTCACAATAAATAAAGCCGCCATAAAATATATTGTAAAGTTATGTTGCTAGTTTTACTTTGAGATATTTTAAGCTTTTGTCAAAAGTGGTAAGATCTTAATACAAATAAAAACCTTTTTGTGGTTGTAAGATTTAGCTTATAAATCATTCAAATTGAAGTGAAAGATTTACCAGGTCATTGTTAATGACAGTCTATTAAGAATATATGTATTTTTTTAAAGGGAAAGCACTTGTAGATATTTAATCAGTACAAGATATATGTCCGTTTTGCAGAAATAAAATGCTGCTTAGAGATTCTCTTTATTTTTTGTGTGTGTGCTCAAATGTATTTCCTGTTGATCTATGGAATGTTCTGTACAATGCTGTATGATTGTACTGTTCAAGCTACTTTTTTTTTTTTAATCTGGACTTAGCCAAATATATTTGACCATGTTAAAATAGTATCTTTGTTATTAAAACTTGGATTGCATAATTTATTGTTTGTCATCTATTTAATATTTCTAGCTATAGATTGAAACCTCCATTGAAAATGTCTCATTTAAGTACTATAACAAATTTTATTGAAATTTGTTGAATATTTGACATCATTAACTAACGTTTTCTGAAGATTCTTCATCTATTTAGATTTAAGATGGCAGACTGTCCAGCATCTCATTGTTACACACACACACACACACACACACACACACACCCACCCACAGCAGAATTCTTGCTTTGTTAAACCCAAAGAATCTTTAGGAAGCAATTAGAGATCAAAGAAAAGCACAAAGGAACTGAAAGACTTATTTCCTTCAGCCAGTTAGAGAATTTAGCTTTGTTTGATTACATCCTGCATGCACACTTGCTGCAGGAATTTTAATGAGGCTAAAGTCAGGAAAGTTGTGTTGATTCTTGTCTTCCCTTCATTGTTAGTGAAACCATGAAGGTGGCTGGAATCCCCAGTTCTTCAGTGAGAATGGAAAGAACTTTTCTTGCAGCAAGATTTGACTTCCTTCCATGTTTTACTCACTATGGCTGATGCTGAATGGGAAAGAACATGAATGATCATTCTTGGGAAGTGCTCAAAATGTAAAACACATGCACACACCTTTCATGTCATTGGCCATTACATGGTCCAACTGCAAGGAGTGCTGGTGAACATGTATCCCAAGCAGGAAGAGGAGACATTGTAACCTGCTTCATAACTTTTCTATGCCTCCATTTGAGGGAAAGGTTTTTCAGGTCTAAGAAATATATTTATTAACACAGGCTCAGCTCCGATCTGTTCACTAGTTAAGAAAGATGGAGAGGTCTTGCACTTAGGCTGGGTCTGAGAAGCTCAGCATGCTATGTAGCTGGGGAATTTGCAGGTAGTATTGGTCTGGAAGCCATGCAAAAGCATACTTAGCACCCAAATCCCTTGCCCTGGAACCTGGAATCAAAAGGAGAATGATAGCCCAGAAAAGTCTAAGTAGACACCAGTACCCCTCACTGAAAAGAAACTTTGTCTTCACAAACGTGTACCTCGTTAGAATCCTCATTCCTCCTACAAATTCCCAGAAACCTGTAATTCTACTTATAAATCCCACTCCTCCTACAATGCTGTGCTCCTACTTACAAAGCACTGATGTTCTACAAAACCCTGCTCCTACCAAGCTCTGGTCCTCCCTGTAGAGCCCCATTCCTCACAAAGTACAGCTCTTCAAACTACACCCTGTGTTTCTTACAAAGACCTCCTCTAGTTCTCCCCTTCAACACAAAGCCTTTCTCCTCCTACAATCTCTACCTTCAAAGCCCTGCTAACAACACATGGCCTTGCAACTCCTACCAAGTCCTATTCTTCCTAACAAGTCCTTCATCTCCCAAAGTCA